TTATCTAAAAATAACTATCCAATAGAAATACTAATAAATATAATTCAATAATAATTAATATATTTCTTATCCAATAAGATTGTTTGTCAAATATCATATCATGACAGTATTATCTGAATTAATTTTATAAAGTAATGAGCAAATATCAGCTACATATTGGCTGACTGATTCATTTGCACTTTAAATATAATTATTTAATTGTTGTTGTCATAGTAATAATTGAGTTTGAATGTGAAATTCATTTAAAAAACATGATTTGAAAGAAGTTTCTTGGTTGTTAACATCATTATAATGTGTGAATTATGCATTATTTGCTTGAACTTGATTTTTATACTAATAATTGGCAATACCACGTAAGTATATTGGTATAATACAAATTCTTCTTTCATTACTCATCTTATTAGTTCTTGTAGCTTGTTTAAATTCTTCTATTCAAGTAATTGGATTATCTTGATCATTTTCATGAAATGTTGAAATTGGAATTGGATCTTGATTTTGATTACTAATTAGGTCTGCTAATTATATCTAGAGTAGTCATTGTTGATGATAAAGGTGATGGTGATAGTGGTGATGATTTTAATTCAATATTTTCTGGTAATAATGGAGGTAAATCAAGAATTAAAGCATTTTGTTCTTCTTCTTCAAAGTTTTGAATTTGTTAAGTTGTTGATGATGTTCCTAGGTAATTTTGAAAACTTTGTTTAATATTTTGAATGATTGTTAATATTGTTGTTACTGTTTGTGAATGTGATTCTTGACTTGTAATTGTTAATATTGGTGTTGATAAGTGAGATTTTTGTTCTATTTTATATTTGAATAATCAAGATTATCTTTGTTAATTGAAAGTTTGAATTTCTTCAGTTAAGTTATTGAGATAATTAAATAATCCAGATGATTTTAGAAGAGTATGTGATAATAATTACTGTTATAATTAATATTTAATAGTATTAATTTGAGATTTTTATTTGATAATATCAGCTTCAAATAGATTATGAAAAAGTTTAAATAATTTTCTGTCTTGTTTTTTGTAAGTTTAGTATTGATTATTTCTCTTACAATATCAACAAATTGATAACGAATCTCAACTTCAGTTGGTTTAGATGGATCCAATTTTGAAAAGTAATTTTAGTTGTATTTAGCTTCAATTTTACCCTTTACAGAGGGAGCACCAAAAAGCTGTTACTGTTCTTATTTTGATAAGCAAGATATTAACTAATTATAATAATTAATTAAGAATTATATAAGAATGATAATAGTGACTGTGTGTATTTCAGAGAGTTAGATACTAGATAGTTAGGAGAGAGTATTAAAAAGAAATAGATTCTAATACTTTCACTAGTTAAATAAGTATTTTATAATTTAAAAATATAAATGATTTATTAAAATGACTTCCACTAATTGGATAAGTCAAAGTTAAATAAATAATAAATCAAAGATAATAACAAGTAAAAGATTATTTAGAAATATTAATTAACTTCTATACTTTTATTACTTTCAAAATTACTACTAAGATCCTTGTTATTTTATATTAAATTATATCTGTTTAAATACATATAAATGTAATATGAATTTATATGATGAGTGACGTTATTTAAAAAATAATTATAAGATAAATTTGGAAAAAGTGTAATGCCAAGAAATGATAAATGTAATCTAAGTGATACAATTTAAATTAGAGTGATATTAGCACTACATTAATTAATATTAAATGAAATTAATTTAAAATAGAATGAATTTAGATCCAATAATATTAAAATAAAATAAATAATGTGACATTAAAAAGAATTGATTGGTGTTTTTGATAAATTATGTGTAATTAGATAAATTAAATAATTAAAAATAAAATTATAAATATAAAAATATAAATATAAAAATATAAAAGGAAATATAAATGATTATTAAAATTAGATCACATGATATTTTACATGTGATCCAAAATATCAAATGGTAATAATATATAAAATTTTTTTATAATTTTGTACATTATTTTTAAGACATAATATCTCTCTATATCTAGTTAATCAAATTCAATAATTTTGATATCATTAGATATATTTTGACTAAACTTTTTTAATGATATCAAAATTATTGAATTTGATCTGCTGAATATGAAGATATTTATATTTTTATCAACTGAAATTTTTTTATCTTTTATCTCCAGATTTGAAGTTTATTGCAATTCTATTAGTATTTTAAATTTCTGATACATAGGTTATTCTATCTGATCTGAGTAATAATATTATTTGTGATTGCATATTTTTAACAAAATATACAAGAAAATACTCAATAAAATACAAAATTTTTATTTTATTAATTTATAATATTAGGTTTAATAGACTGAATCACACTTAACAAATCAACTTCATTGGATTAGTTCAATTTAATTAATAATACTAATTATAATAATAAATATTTGTTTAATAAATAAATTTCTTATTTGAATTAATTTTTGTTATAGAAAAAATATAATTAAATTTTTTATAATTATTTTTTAAATTATATAGTATACAAAATTGAATACTAAAATATTTTGTTTTATATTTTTGCTTGTATTTATAATTTTAATTTTCTTATTTTAAAAATTAAAATTTTATAACTGAATATTTTTATAGATTTTTATATATAATAGATTATTTAAAAGATTATTTCTATTTTAATATAAGCATAAGCATTTTTTATTATAATAGGATGATTCAAAAAATAAAAAAATACATAATAAAATTAAAAATAATATATTACTTTTATAAGTTATTGTATATAATAGCAATCAAAAATAATGTAACAATATCAAAATTTATTAATTAAATATAGTAAAATACAATTTTTTTTCTTTATATAAAAGTTTTCAATTTTACTAATAAATATTTTTTATTTCTATATTAAAATAAAGATAATATTATATATTTTAACATATATTTTTTTCAGATTTTTTAGAGTTAATCTAATAAAGTTATTCTAATTACATATAAAGTTAATTATTTTTTTATAAATTAAATCTAAAAAATCTAAAAAAATATATGTTAAAATATATAAGAAAAAATTCATATTTTATTATATTTAATTAATAATTATTAAAAAAATCAATTTGGTAATTATAACTAAATATAATTATAAACAAATTTAAATATATTTAAAATATTTTGAATTATAATAATTATAAAAGATTATATAAAATATTAAATTACAAAATAATTAAAACAAATCTAAAACAAGAAAATCGATAATTATTACAATAAAAAATATTATTTATTTAATATTTAAATAAATTTTCTTGAAATACAGTGGATTATAAAAAATTATAAAATCATATATGCAATTTTATTAATAAAATATAATAAAAATTGAGATTTTTATTTTAAACAAAAGTATATATTTTTTCTGGATTTTTAGATTTAGCCTGACAAAGTTGTTCTAATTGCAAAGTTATTATAATTAAAATATAAAATTAATTATAAAAAATCTAAAAAATTTATGTTAAAATATAATTTATAATTTTGATATAAAGATAAAAATAAAAATTTTTATATAAACAAAAATTTCAATTTTTATTAATAAAATCACATGCATAATTCATAATTTTGTCAATCACTATATAATATAAATATTGATAAAAATAATTTATATAATGAAAACTGAAAATTTGGATTTTTTCTTACAAATTCAAACAAGTCAATATAAATATAATAAATAAATTTTTTATAATAAACGAAAAATTTTATTAATACTTGTAATAAAATATTTAATATGAAAAAATAAATTTGAACAATATTTTTATAAAACAAAAATTTTTTATATTCTTGAATTTACAAGTAAAAAATCCATTTTTAAGATTTAAATAACCAATTACATTTCCATTTCATAATATAGCTTATAAGCAAGTATCAAATCTCAATTCTAATTAATTGTTCAATAACTATTCAAAGACAGAACTAAAAAAATTCAAGCCAAGAACTCATTGATTATAAGGGATTAGATTCAGAAGAACTTGAAATCCTTCTATTACGAACTGAACGGGAAGAAATAATATTTTCTGCTGAAATAGATGATCGACTAGATTCAGAAGAACTTGAAATCCTTCTATTACGAACTGAACGGGAAGAAATATCTTCTGAACTAATCGATGAAATAGATGAGCGATTAGATTCAAAAGAACTTATATTACGAGCTGAACGGGAAGAAATAATATCTTCTGCTGAGCTAATCGATGAAATGGATGATCGAGTAGATGAGGTGGTGATGGGAGGTGAAGGTGTAGTTGACGCAGATTTTCTCCTTGTATTTTTTTCTAAGGATGTTAATTTTGTTGCAGTATTGGAGGAAATTTTGTTGGCAGAGGTAGATGTAGTGGCAATATGAACAGAGCTCGACTTTTTGACATTTGTACTTGATATTCGTGTCGATCTTCTAAGTTCGCCTATATAAAAGTTGTTATTACCATTTAATGAGACAACTTATAAGAGAATATTTATAAAGTTCTATAACTTACTTTCTTTGTACCGGCTTTTTAGAGGGACAGAAGAGGAAGGGGAGGAGCACGATGATGCAACAGCAACGGATTGATGACTAATATCTGAGGAAGAAGTTGCAGCAGCCCTTTCATTATTTTCATAAATGGATTCCAGATGAACAGATGATGATGAAGCCACTGGTTTCGTTGTTACTGTTTTTGCTGTCATTTCTAAATTAATGAATGAATATTAAATAATAAATAATAATCCTAAACGTCTTTACCCTTAAATCAAAATACAGTCAATCTTGATGTAACAAACTCTTGATGTAATTAAAATCTTTCTAATATATGATTATTTAACATTAGGATTCATCTAAGACTCCACATTCCAGTGTGGCCAAGATGCAATCAGCCACTTACATTATCATTATCATTATTATTATCATTAACCTATTATCACTTACTTCTTTTGCCCTTATTACTTGCGACTGCTTTCGCTTTTTTCATAGTTTCCTCTTGTTCTTCAACACGGGATTTTAGCTCCGTGATTCGGTTTTCGAATTCATCTACGATTTGCTTCAATTCAGGCTTTTGCGGTTTTTGAGAATTCGCCTGGTGGTAATGTTTATTATTCTCGAAATTACTATTACTTTTCTCACGTATATTATTAAATACGCTATGAGAAAAAAATTTCAACCAACTAACAAACCTTAGATATAATCTCCATAAAATGCTTATACACAGCTTCTTCGTGTAATTTATCTTGATAGTTTGGAATTCCTTCAACCAATTTTTTAAAGCTTTTTTCGCTCTTGTAGGATAACAAGGAGAGACAAAAGGCAATGTCTCGCCATTGTCGTTTATCATCTAAATTCTTAAACCGTTGACAAAGTTTTTCCACCACATTTTCGGTTTGTTTGTCCTTTTAATAAATAATTCATATTTAATTAAGCTCGATATAAAAATAATAAATAGATGCCTAGTATCAAGAGTAGTATAAATAATACCTTTTCAATAAATTCGAAAAGGAACTTCATAATTTCCTTGAATGAATCTTCATTGACTGCATTCTCACCAGATGACAAATTACTTATTATATCTGGCAGATTATTGTAGACGGCATTGTCTTTTGAGGCAAGCTCAGTAAAGAACAACCTTGCGAGATCACTGATTCTTTCATCTTTATCTTCCAAGCATTTGGCCATCTTTTGAGATCAATAATATTGACAAGAATTACCAAACTAAATGATAACAAGTTAAATGTTATATATATATATACACACATGAATTAATAATTTACCTCTCCTAACTGTCCTTTGACTTTAATCATTCCGTTCAAAATCAAGTGAGTTAACACCATCAATGTGTTCTTTTTCACCATGATATCTGGGTCAGCGAGACGCTTGTATAGGTAATTGATATTTTCATCAATAACATTATTGAAGCAAACGGTCATATCACCGAGAGCAATGATAATGTTGCTTCGAATGATCGGCTCAGTGGCGCGTTCTAAAATAGTTAACAATAACTGTAAATTGTTTTCGCAAAATTCCGAACTGACACACATGAATTTGGAAAGGGCCAAGGTAGCTGCGATTTGCAAAGTTGGATCCTTTATTTAATGAGGTGTGAAAATCATACGGATAAGTAATGGATGTTTATAAATTGATTTTTTAAATGATTTTTACTTACTTTATAAGATTTATTATTTGAGCATATATGTGTAGCCATAGATCCGAAAACAGGTAATAATGAATTCGAGCCAAACAATAGTTCTTTTTCACGGATATGAGAAATCGCTTCACCGAATTCATCTTCAGTTGTGCCGGCGATTTGATCTAATTCATCTTCTCCGACTGTCTTGGCCACAGCTTTAGCTTTGTCTGGTTGTCGTCATAGATATTCAATAAGCAAACTATATAAATATGTAGTTAAATACCGATAATCAATTATTTACTTACCCTTTGAGTCGCCATCGGCTTTCCTACGTTTCCATTCAGCTTCAATAACTTCAAGGTGTACGATTTGTTTAATTGCCACATGACCAACAATAAATAAAAGTTGACTCAAATGAATTGGATATGTCGTAAATGTTTCTTGAGATCCGAGAATACTTTCATCTTCCTGATTTATACTGGATTCTTCGGTGGATGGTGGTTTAATATCGAATACCAAGGCTGTTCTTTTCTTAATAATATCGCCACACAGTATATCGGGATGCTCACCAAGAAGATAGATTGTGTTGATTGCCTGCTCAGCAACAGCAAACCTAATAATCAGATATTTGCATAAGCTCCATACATGACATGAAGCAGAGATATTAAAAGACTGTGTTAAGTATTTCAAAGTACCATTCGTGGGATTTTGTGGGAAATTCGATAATTTCTTGAAGACGTTGAAAAATCGAATGAGTCATAGGGAAACGAATCGAATCATTATTTAATGAGCCTACATTTGAAAAATAAGCTGTTAATATTTAATGGAATGACAATAAAAAAATATTGTTTAATGCGACTTGCCTTTAACCTTTGCTTGACTTCCAGCAAGACATTGTAATGCAATACAAGTATATCTCGCCAAGGCCAAATCAGCCTAAATATATAAAATTTAAAGTTAGCCAATTATAATGAAATTTGCTTGTATAATAATTAATTATTCGCACTTTGCCTAAAGGTCCAAGACCAATTTTAAGAAGAAAATCCGTCTTTTCGGAAATGATTTCAGTTTTAGCTTTTGCAAGCATGCCCAACACAATTATTGCTCCTCGACGTTGAACTTTGGATATATTACGTGTAGTAGCTGCCAAGATTCGATATAATATGTCAAATTTTGACTAATAAAAATAAAACAAGAAAAAATATACAATTTCTTCTAGACACTGACCATACACAGACCATAATTTCTCAATTATATTGTCTGAAATGCATCCATCTGCCTCAGCCATCATTGTACTCAATAGTAAATCAAGGGAGGTTAATTCGGCCAAAGTCGCGTTAAAAGTGAGACTTGTGGAAGAGTATATTGTATAATATTAGTAATTATATTGTAATAGAAACTTACAATTCAAATAATTAAAATACCTTATTAAATTTTTGGTTATCACATCAACGTTTTCATTTTCTGTCAGTGAGTCGTCCGGTGAAAGGTAGAGTGTCCGATACGAATCGATTAGGCGCTTCCTGACACCTTTCCCTTCGTCACTATTATCTTTGGTCCAAATAAGATGCACCATCTTTTTTATTCCTTCGTTGGCCTTTTCAATTTTATAAGTATGGGCTGCGACAAAAAATTCTATTGCTTCTAGCACTTCGGCCTTATTAGTTGAAGCCAGTAATACACATAATGTCGGGATAGCAGTGTGGATTTGATGAATAAATCGTACAGCATCCGCGTAAAATCGCTTGGTCAGTTGTAATTTTGTGAAAGCGTCATTGGTCACTCTGAGCTCGTCTTCATTTCCATTTGAACTTTGATGATTGTCTCGGTCAATCGACAGTAGCGAAGTATTAGTTTCTATGTTTTCTTTATTTTCTTCGTCATCGATTACTGGTTGATTTTCTTCTTCGACTCCTTGTAATTCTGTCGGTGGTTGTACTGCCTGTTGTATATTATAATATTTATAACAGAATAATAGGAAAAGAATCATCACTTTGAATTAATTGAAAATAACCGGAATTTAATAAATTATAATAACCTTCAATTCTTCATCAGCTTTGCGCAATCTTTCTTCCCATTCATTAACCGATAATTCACCACCATGCATCATTCCATATGGATGAGTTGTGATTAGTTTGGTAAGCAATTTGATTGCATTTTTTCGTACTGTCGGAGTTTTGTCTTCCAAAGATCTGATAACTAAATCAGTGAGTCTTTGTCGACGTTTCGGGAACTTGACTTTTAGGCTTATTAGTTATCGATATCCGATCAATTTGAGAATTATTATTATCAAATAATTGATGAATCAAACAAAATTCACTTCATAAAGTACTCACTCGCATAATTTAAGACAAACTTGTAAAATTTTTGAACGGCAATAAGAATTGTTGTCAAGAAACCGTTCTTCAAGAACATCAAAGAAACCATTAACCTGATTTTTTGAAACTTCGGTCTGTTCCTCCTGATTTGCGATATGTGAAATAAGACAACCAATGACTTCAATGAATCCACATCGCATCGTGTGCGACTTGTTTTGTTAGATAAAAAGACACAAATATATTAAATTTCAAAGAAAGATACGTGTAGTGTGAAAAATATATTCTATTATTCATTACCTCACTATCCAAATGCTTGATCAGAAGCCCGATATGTTTTAACACTAATTTTGGAACCAACTCGGAAAATTTAAATAAGAATTTGGAATACGATTTTGGAATGGTTGTGTCTTGTCCTTTAAATTCTTTGTTGCTTATTTCACTAAATTCGAACGCGGCAAGTTCAGAATAAATCAATAATATTAATTAAAGTCAGATGCATAATTCATATTGACAGAAAGACATACATTAGAATTTCTTCGGCCAATTGTGTATGATCAAATTGATTTGCCAGCACCTCCAGGAACTCGGCCATTGGTTCGGAAAGATGTTCATAATACTGTAAATTTTGAATGATGGTTGTTTGTGCGCCTTTGTTGAGAATTTAAGTAAAAAAATTAAATAATATGAACGTAAAAAACTAAATTTAACTAAGAATAGATATTAAAAATATACCAAATGCATGATTATAATCCTTTACGCATTTCGATAAAATCTTGTATACACAAAACTTAAGTTTTGCGATCTTAGTGTTTGCAGTATTTTCTAGCATTTGGTATGCTGATTTCGTAAACACACTAAAAAATAAATATTCAGCAACCAAAGAAAAAAACAAATTAGTAAGAATTGGAATTGAATCGGTACAATAAAGTTTGTTCCAATCACCTAACAAATGTATCCCTCTCATGAGTAGAAGTCCATATTCTATTGATCCTTAGGTCCAAAACTGAAGATATTAATTCTAATGTTATAATTTTTTGCGCAGACCAATTCCATCCTTCGGAATCAGAAGAGGCTTTGAGTGATTTTTTCCCCTATACGTTATGAAATTATTCGATTTTTAACAATAATCTCTAGAAAACATAATAAAAATGATTGATTCTTTAGAAAAAAATTTAGAATTCTATACTTTTCCCCTTCCGCTGCCGCTGTCACCAGCATTGACCACAGGCTCCTCTCCAGTACTTGACCCGGCGGTAACAGCCGTATTTTTGGATGCCGTTTTAGTCTCTGCCAAGTTAATTATCCAACCTAACAAAAACGCGTACATTTCCAAAGATTCTCGGCGACTTGGAAAAGTTTCCTCATCATTTGCATCTATATCTCTTGAAGTATTTTCGATTTCTGATTGAAGCCCTATATTAAGAATACGTGATAGAATGGATAAGATAATCAATCTTTTATTTAACAATCTCAAGAAAACTGATATGGTCGAAAGCAAATACCAGATATAATCGTATCTAGAATTCGACTCATTACTGAAGGTTTCAGTCTATTGAAATTCCTATGATACGAGGAGTAGAAATTAATATAATGTATTACAACGAGATATGTTTTGTAGATACTTGCTTGATAAACGAACGTAATACATCAAATATCTCGGGCTCGGTGACTACGGAAGAGGAGACCGCTATTTTCTCAACTATATCTAATATTTTATATAAAAATAATCAATTTTTTATCAAATATATCTTCAAAAAACGCGAACTATATACCATTAAGCAACCCCTCAAGGTCACTTTCATTTATATCAGTAATTTGAACTTCATTATGTATGAAATAATCTTTTTCTTGCAATTTCAACAGTTCTTCGTGCAACACAAAAGATTCTGACATTTGTTATGTTTGTTATATAAAGCCGAAAAAATAATTTGTTATGAACAAAAAGTTCGAAATTCGCGAATAAAAAGTCGCGTCTTGTTAATCCGAAAATATGTAGATCATTTTAAAGTTTACATGTCACCAATGGGCAGGATGTGCGGGGAATACAAGCTTCCCGTGACTCAAGTAACGCCACACTGGCCACACTGATCATTTTGTAATATGAATCATGTGATATTATAAAGTTATTTGTTCTGTAATATGGATCATGTGATTTTATTCTCTTTGCACTTCTTCAAATTTTGGCTGTTGTGAATTATTTTAACACAATAATATTATCTTGTATTATTATTATTATATTTATTTTCAAAAATTCTATAATAAAAATTTCTAAAAATAATAAAAAAACATCAAATTAATAAAAATAATTTATATAATTATTATTTAGTAATTATACAAATTATCATTTTTAATTTATCTTTTTCCTATTTTTTCTATTTTTTTTTATCTTTATCTATTTATATCATATCTATTCTTATTTATTTTTTTTATTTTTTATAATATTTTGTAATGTAAATAGTATTAAAATATATTGAGAATTTTGATATAAATAAATATACTGTTTTAATTAAAGATAATATTTCAATTAATTGTAACTTGTAATATTCAATCAGAAAATTGTGATTTAATTATAATTAATTGTAACAATTAACCAGAGAATTATAATCAAGTTACAACTAATTGTAATTCTATTTTTAATCTCAACACACTTTCATATTTTGATGCTTTGAACAAATTAATAAACTTTAATCTTTATTTTAACAAGTTAACTAATTGTATTTTGTTATTTTATCATTAATATTTATTCTTTATTTTTATTCTGTTAAAAAGAGTTATTAGCTTTATAGTATTTTTTTTGTTTAACTTGAAACTTTTAAATATTTTAAAGTGTTAATTCATAATTTATCAATTATAGAGTATGTATGACAGACAATTTTAGTTTTTATAGTCAAGTTTGATTGATTTACTGATTGTAATTCAATATTATTACTTGTTAGTTATAGTTATATAAAAATAATTCAAACTAAATTATATTTTATTTCATAATTCTATATATAAATAATATTGATGATAAAAAGTGATTCTAGTCTTGTTTATAAAATTGAATATATTTGATAAAAGAAGTACACAATATTTGATTTAATCTTTTAACTAGATTGCTAATAGATAATATTTTATTTGATATTTTTTTATTAATTCTTTTATGATTTTATTTATAAAAGTTATTTTACAATCTGAAATAATTTCATTTGGAAAATTATGATGATATATTATATTATCATATAAAAATGGTAAAATTATAATAATAACTATATCTGATATAATATAAGCTTTAATTCATTTTGTAAGATAGTTAATTGTGATAATAATATAATAATTATTATTTTAGTTGCTGATAATAATTCAATGAGATTAATACTTAATACTAATTTTTTCAAAAGATTCTTTAACTGGTATTGGATTAAGTTAATTATTTTTGTTTATTGATATATATTATATACTGTCACGAGTTCCAGATTCAGGTAGGTAATCTCGTGATGTGGATGTTCAACCAGCGTCTATTTCAATAATTCAGTATTTCAATCCAGTTGCTTTAGGATTTCAGTGCAGTGCGACTTCTTCTATTTTATTAGTCTAGAATAGGTAATACTATTACTAATAAATATCTTTCTTATATTTACTTAGTATGGTGATGGTTTTATAGCAATACAGTACTGATATTCTATAGCAATCTGATTGAGTGTCCAGTAATGTATAAAGTAAGTGTTATAATAAGATTAATAATCATAAAAATCAATTAATGTACAATTTCATTAAACAATAAACAAAAGTGATTTATTGACTAGCTAGATTTTTGTATTAATCAATTAATGTCTTTTGATTTATTCAAAAGATCCTTTATTTATATAAAATATTTTTATGATTAAGTTATTATAATATAAAATATGTTATACATGTTAGATAAATATAATATAGCGAATAATATTAATATGTCTGAGAACTCTGCTATCTCTACAATCTATATTTTATCACATGATTAAAATTAAGAAATTAAGAAATTAGGAATAATTCTGGACTGTAACAATGCTTTAATATTGTTATCATTTTGAGCTTTTGCATATGAAAGTATTTCAAAATGATAATAGTGACTATGTTCATGGCAATTTACTTTGAATATTATAACTAAATAATGTTTATGATGATAAATGATATTTCTTGACAAGATAAAAGTGACGAAGATACTAAATTAATAACAAAACTAAACTAAAGGGTAAACTTAACCAAAAATTACTTATAATTTCAAAATAAAATCAATTTAACATATTAAACTCGACATTTAACCAAAAGAAACTCAAAACTAAAACTTAAGAACTAAAAATATGAACTAAAGAACTTGATTTTTATTAATTATCAGCACTTGTATTTATACATTACTGGACACTCAATCAGATTGCTATAGAATATCAGTACTGTATTGCTATAAAACCATCACC